ATATTAAATTAAATTAAATGTTAATAAAATGGAACTAATATATATATATATATATATATATATATATATAAAACGTTATTAATACATATGTTTTAAAAGAAATCTAGACTTACTATATATAGTCATTAACTAATTGTAAGATAATAATAATGCTTGTCTATAGACCAACCAAATAAAATTCAATTTAAAGTTAATACAAGAATAAATGTAAGCATGTGCAATAGAATGATTATTTATTTCTCCTCTTTTCGGGTTTTTCTAACAGTCTCCAGTTTAATTCTTTACTCATAAAAGATTTCTCAGTATCATAAAACTGGTTTCGTTCTTTACTAAGGTCTTTTTCAGTTAACAATTCTAAGTGTGAACTAAGCGAAAGAAAGATGATCGTTTCACATTCATGCTTTAAACTCGTATTAGCCTTGAGAATTGAATTGTACAGATTTATTAACTATCGATTGTAACGATAAAAGATCTAACGATGTTGATTAGTATTAGCCATTGAAGGTTGCAAACAGATAAAAAGATACAGAAAAACCTTGACTTTATAAACCGTTACAAGCTAGCTGTATCCAACTAGTTGGAATTACAAGATCCGTTTATAATCTAATTCAGAAAACGCGGTCAGTAACCGGTGAAACTGGTTAGCTGGACCAGTTCTACATTAACTCATTAATTGCCGTGAACCTATTCGAATAGAATAAAATTCGGTTATTCTTTGCACATCACTTTAATAAAATTTGCTCATTATACATATTTTTTATATTTTAAATCAAATGTAGAAATATTACACAAATAGAATGTAGGAAATTTGATTATATATTCCAAATGTTAAATTACGGCGGATATTAAAATATGAGATATTACTTGCAAGTGAAACAATTCTCGTACACAATATAACTTATTCAATAATACTGGAGAAATTCTTAACCGTTGTAAACAGTTAACTTAGAATAATTCACTGATCGTTGACTTTAGATACTCCGATTATAGATATAACAAAGAAGTGAATAAAGAAACGTGAATAAAACGAAAGAAAGGTTTTCACTTATATATATAGTTGCCATGGCCAGTCCAGTTCTCTGAACGAGTTGTAATTTAAATTCATGAGAGAGCGCCGATTGGAGTTATATTTTTAACCGTGACGCTGCGAAACAACCATGGCCGTGCAGGTACAATACATAAAATGTTGCGCGATATATATGTATATAGGTGTTATTACACACTTTGAAAATGCCGGTTCCATATACATTGTAGACTAGAGATGTGCTAAAAAATTTTATGTTCTTGTCGTAATTTTATAAGTGCATTGTTGTACAGCTTGTTTTATAAATCCTCACTTCTCATAAATTCTTAACGTGAAAATACTGAAAATACACTATTTCAAATCCGCAAAAAATACAGAAATTTAATTTCTTTTTATTGTCGTGATCATCATCGTTTTATCATTATTATTAATATAATTATATATAATAATTATTAATTAGATTTAAATAATAAGATATTATTAGAAGAAAGCCGATATCGACATAAGTCTTCTAAAAAGATATTCAGAAATTAAACATTGCACTTTATTAATACTAAAATATGATCTTATAAAATTAAAGAGATGAAACTCTATAATTCATATATTTGCGACTTGTGTCTATATAAAATTCTATAGCTAAAATTCTATCGGCTAAATAAATGCGAAAATAATTTAACACTTTTTACGATTTTTTTTTGCAAATTATATAATTTAAATAATATTAGACATATTAATGTTAATATTATTATAGATTGTTATAGTATCCTGAAACTGATTTATTTTTTTCTTTCTTATATTTCTTATTTTTATTAATTTTAGGGCTTATTTTCTTAGACGTCAATTTTTGCTAATCTTACAAAAATGTTAAATATTGCAAATTTCCAAACAGTATAAAAATCCATAAAATATTGTTATATTATTTGATAGAAGACGCTTCCTAATTTAGTATTTTTATTTTTAAAATAATATTTTTAGCTTTTTGTTAAAAAACTATAATTTAAAAACAAAATGATATCGGCGATTTTCCTCTATTATACATAGATATAAGGGAAGTATGCCTGGTATCGGCGGATATCTAAAGTTTTCTCAAAAATTAGAAGGAATGGAAGGGAAATCAATAATGTATTACATTTAGCATATAGTTAATAAAGTATAGAAACAATATTTTTAAAACAAGTAAACACATAATCGTTTAAGTTTTAAAATAAAAATAAAATTTCATGGAAAACTGCACATTTCAGAAAGTACTGCTCAGTTCCGGACGTGTAACAAAATAATGTATATTTTTATATAAACAATATACAAACAATGTGAAATGATACATAAATATAAATAACTAGTTTTGGAGTAAATTATTATAAAAGAAATATTCTCAATTTCTCAAATATTTTGAAAATTAAAATATTAGGCCTTTAAAAGATTTCGAAAAATTGCTCTTAAATCGATCCATTTAAGAGGTTGCGTGAATTTTCACAACAAACACAAATTATAACAGCTATATTATAGAAATGTTACAATATTGCTATTACAATATTGATATTACATTTATAATCTATGTTTGCCGAATATTTACCAATTTTAATATTTTTAATCCTGTCTCTCAGTGTACTTTTTTGGAACGGAAAATTGTGAAGCAAGCTTTCTGATACTCTCATTGATTCTTCTATGACTTTATTGATCATATCTTTTATATTTTCTTCTACCATTTTCCTTTAATTTTTCCCATTTTGGTAGTGACAGCAAATGATATAAATATAATTCTGAATATTAAGATTTCTCTTTTGCACCGTCTTTTGACCCGTCGATGCGAACACGCGAGCGTAACGTGGCGCGGGCGCGTGCACCAGCTCGGTGCGCGAGCACGGCGAGCGCGAGACAGGCCGTTGTTTGTATGCTCGCACGTGGCGATTTAAATGCCCGGAATGACAGGAGTTTCTATAGTATAGCTAGATACATTCGGAGCAGAGTAGCGCTCTGCCCCGTCGAGTGGCTACCTCGGAATTAAGATGGAATAGTGACAGCTGCTGACAAGGGACCCGCACAAGGT